ATATTTTTGTGGCTTCATCGAATAACTCGACGAGAATTCAATAATTCGCGAACGTTCCAGAAGCACTTCAAAATGAATACATTCAAAGAAATCAAATGAAAATGAATATTTTAATCTACAATCGCAACGAATTGATCGTCAGAATACACTCGAAGTTCTTTATTGTGATAAGTCTGGTAATGCATGTTCACTGTTTTAGAAGTGTTCGAATTCAATTTACGAATAAAAACCACTTTGCTCGGAAATACGAGGAACACTACCGTAATAAGATATTTTTTTTCATGTTTAGGTCATATTAGATGTCACTAATTAAATAACTCATTGAGAAAGTCGAATATCGGCCTACAATTCAGAATTTATTTTTTAATATGAATCTGTTTCTTTCTATTTTAATTTTATTGGCTTTCCAATCTTCGTAAAAGAACTAATCGCTAAAGTTTTACATTTGGTAAAATAATTTCTCAATTTTTATCATGATTCAATTCGGAAAACTGCTTAGTATATATTTCACCATCGCACTGCTGGAGAATGTTTGTAATTTTTTTTTGGGCTAACAATTTACAGGATCAGCATGTGTTCAAGTGTCAACATGCAGAGTCTCATAACAGCTCACCACGAAATGGGACACATTCAATATTATCTGCAGTACGTGAATATCCCGCCAATTTTTCGCAGAGGTGCTAATCCAGGTGAAATATCTCACACACCCCGCGAAAAAAAAGTCAGCATTTCAATTACGGGTGGCCTTCATTTGAATTTTCTCACAATTAAGGTTTTCACGAGGCCATTGGAGACACAATTGCATTGTCAGTTGCAACACCGAAGTACCTGAAAGCCATTGGTCTTATTGAACCCGATTTCGAGCTCGATGAAAAATCACAGCTTGCATTCCTTTTACGAATGGCTCTGGAAAAAGTTCCATTTCTTCCATATTCCTACATCTTGGATTTGTATCGATGGAAGGTATTCAACGGATCCATTTTTACAAATGAGCTTAATGCTGAATGGTGGAAACTCGCGTGAGTAAAAAAAAATATTGCTTTATAGCTATCTTTTTCGAAAAACAAAATCTACCTCAACTTTTCAGGGCGGAATTTCAAGGTATTCGTCCACCAGTGCCAAGAACTGAAGATGACTTCGACGCTGGAGCAAAAGTACATTTTGTTCGAGGTTCCCCTTACATCAAATACTTCGTCGCCAGATTTCTGCAGTTCGATTTCCACCAAACGCTTTGTCAAGTTGCTGAAAAATTTGACCCTGAAAATGAAACGTCTTTGCCTTTACACGACTGTGAAATATTTGGCAGTGAAGCTGCCGGGGATAAACTCAGGTGATGAGCTTGAAGTTACTCAACGACGCGAATATTTTCCGTATTTATTCATCGGACATTTTTTTATTGGAATTAGTATTATTCATCGGAAAATGTTTTCTTGAATTTTTCCAGAACTTTAATGAGCGTCGGGCGATCAGAACATTGGCCAGATATTCTTGAGCGAATGACGGGGAGTCGGGAAATGTCAGCGAAACCCTTGCTGAATTATTTTGCTCCACTGAGAAAATATTTGCAAGATTACATCACCAGAAACAAGGTCATCATTGGCTGGAATATGAGCACAGACAACGAAACGGAATCCGAAGAAGACTTCACACATGTCCCCGAAGTGACAGTTGTCGAATTCAACCAATCTGTGATATCGGAACGATTCATGCATGGAAATTCTGGGTGTTATTTGAGAAAGTTCAACCCAATATTAGTTGCATTTTCTGTGATCTTCACCTTCAGACTTTTTTCGCGATAAATATTTTACCTAATTGGCATCGCGGAACCCTGATTTTTCTTCTCCGAATAAATGTTGATAATAAAATGCTCACTGAATATTTATGAAAAGGAGAAATAAAACGCTTCATACGGTTTCAGAAAAAATGATCGTCTGATTTATTCAAATTTTGAAGGGCCAATTTCCTCGCAGACTTTCCAGCTTATGTAGAAATGCCGAAGTCTTCCAAATTCCTGGCGTACTTTTTTCACAAAAATTTCACTCGGTGAGTTTTATTGAAGTTTTTGGTCCAATCTGAATTCAGGGCACTTACAATCTCATTTAAATTATTATTGATCCTCAGTAAAATCTGGTCAGAAATTTTTCGAGGAATAATTTTTGTTTTTATTCTTTATTGAGGGAGAAATGCAACGTGAAAAAAATCATGAATTTCCTCTTGATTCCCAAAATGATGTCGGTGATTTGATCTCTCTACTGTAACCTAAAAAATTTCCCGCGAGTTCAATAAATTAAAAATGGAGCTAAAATGCTAAATTCAATATAAATGCGGAAGTGAAGTGAAAAGAGTCTAGTTTTTCAAATCTACGGCAGTTTCACAACCATTTTGTTTCCGCTGCAAAGCATGACATAAACGAGCATCTGTTCAAAATGGGCCTGTTTTCCGTCCTCACGGCCGACATGATTTCATTTGGAATTTTCTTGCTTAACCTGAAATGCGCTGCTTTCGCAATCTTCTTGAAGTTATGCAAGAGATCGACATGAAACATTTCTTTTCCGCGTTATAATAGAAATAGATTTTTAGCTCTCTGGGGAATTTCCGCTACCACTCTTCTGCAATAATGCAGTTCCCTTTAATTCAACGATTTTCGGCAGTTGCAGACGATACAGTATTTGACAATTTTAAGTGACATGCTTCATATTTTTCGAGCACTGAAACACGAAGAATTTAACTTATACTGTTCATAAAATTATCATTGACAACTTTCTTCTTCCTTGAGACTTTTTGGTGTTATATTCCGACATTCAACATCATAAAATCAATCGAAAAATCTGAATTTTGCAAATAACACCGCCATGGCCCTCAGGTAAAAATTGAATTGTCTAAAAATTTTGCCCAACCCATCACGTGGATTCTTCATACATAGTTTTTTTCGGCCAACATGATTATTTTGTGGTTTACTTAGTTGTCCACCGATTAAAAATAATCCTAATCACAAGGAATTCTGTGCTTCCACGTATTAAAAGTTAGATTTATTCGAACTAACTCGATTTTACACCCAGATTGGATGGGAAACAATTCAAGTGATGAATCATGAATATACGAAACAAGTTTGGAACACATGAAATCCACTAGACTTCGGTAATAAAAGATGCTAATGAATGTTTCGACCCGAGTCGACTTGCATGTATTTAAAATTCAAAAATCTGCCATTTAATTAAAATCTGCAACATCAATAATTCCAACATCTATAAGTATTCTTGACGGCGAATTGAAGCAAAAGAGTCCAATTCAGAATTTCAGAGTGAAACAGTTTTGTTCAATCGATCAACAAGATCAATTATGCTGCTCGAGAAATCAGACTTTTGCTGACAAAAAAAATCAGACCCATAATTTGTAGCCAAAGTTCGTAATACAAGTCAGGGTTCGTTAGCCAGGGCATCTGAGGCCCAAATAAAAGTTTTTATGCAAATATTTTTCCACGTTCATTTTTTTTTTTACAAATACAGCAATTCTTGTTCGTTGAACAAGAATTCTTCAATTACGAAAACTGCGACTCACATCGAAATCATCTCCTGGCCAAAAGGATAATTAATAATTAATCAGGGACTTGCATTAGTACATATTATTAAAAACTTCTCTGAAGAAGGAAAATCAGCGATTTTTCATGCAGAGATCCCAAAAAAAGAAACCTTCACTGATGCCCAAATCACCCTTCAGAATAAAACTTATCTCGTGAAAATGGCTCCAACTTTCCACCACCTGAGCATCAAAGCTGTAGAATTCCTTCTGGCAGTCACAACGTTCGTCTTTTCCTTCAATCTCCTCACTGGTTCCGAGAGACCCTTTGAACGTCACTTGGTGTCGTGGAGTGACGTCATGCTACTCATCACGGGGCCAACGAGTCTCATCAGCGTGGCTGTGTACCTACTGCTCGGATACGCACTCAAGAATGTGAGGCCGACGATGCAAGAAGTACTTGTGGAGTTTCTCATACTGCTGGCATTAGTTGGAAGCGCTGGGGTGACTTTGACCCTGGTTTTCTATCCATGCTGGTCCGTGATGGAGAGACGCACTTCAATGATGCGTGACGACAGCAATGGCAGTGAAAGGAAAGCGAACATTTGCTTGACCAGTGATGAGAGGATGTTTGCCATTGGTGCTAGTGTCGCTGCCATGGCGACTTGCGTTGCCATCCTCGTCGACGGGCTCATCATTTGCATCAGCATCAAGTAAGATTTGCACATACAACATAACAAAACACGAATGTATTTTTTTTTCGTGCTGTTTATTGGGACCACAACTGGGCAGAATTTGTCTTAGAAATGAACTTCTGAATAAAAAAAAAATCCCGTTGCTTTACTGTTGGGATTGCGTTTCACAAAAAGCTGGTAGGTGTCGCTCGCAGGTTCACGTCTTTGGAGGCATGCAATATGTTCACAGGTGGACTCTCTCATCCACAACGATCTCGTCTATTACAAAGATTTTCTCAACACAATGGATTTTTTTTGGTTCACATTGGGATCTTTTCCCATGTTACAGGGGTTCTCTACAACAAATTTTCCTGGTGACCAGGATTTTGTTTTATATATAGAGAGAGTTCACCCAGGTGTTGGACTCACTCAATACTAAATCTTGTCTTCATTGATTTTATCCTGTACAGTTAACAGTTACATGCCAAGATGTGGACATAATTGGTGATTGGAAATTGTCTTCACATGTTGGAATGTCCACATGTTGGATCACATTTTCCCTTAGCTATGGAGTAGCCCCGGCGCAACCCCACACTTATCAATAACAGTACTGAGCTGTATTTATTACTTGAGAGATCCACTTCTTGCGTATTTTATAAATTTGAACATGTGAAGCACAATTAAAAAAAAAAATTTCCTTTATGCTCTTTCATTCTTTAATGTTTTTTCTTATTCTTTAAACAGCACCTCTGATTATGAGAGCAAGGCGCAAAGTCATTCAACTCAGGGCATTCAGACTGAAAAGAGGGTTGATGACGAACCAGCATCTCAAGGCTTTTATCCCGAAGATTAATTTTTTCAAAGGTTTCTGAAAGCACGATCGAGATGCTTGATGAATCTGATTGTCGACGGAGGAAACACCTGCGCCGCTTATTTCTTTTTTCTGCGAATATGATTTCATTTGAACATGATTGAAATAAATCTGTGGTTCTCTGCTGGAGGCTATTTTATTATTTGGAAAAAGAAGCAGAAAAAAGATTTAAAAAAGATATCAAACTTACAGGAGCTGATGCATTTTTTTTTTACACCAGCAGAAAATATATTGAAGATGGGAACAGATATCCTAGCTTCAACTTTATTCTATGGAAATTTGGGCTCGGGTCACTCACTCCTGAGTCCTGAAAATAAACGTACAGTATATTGTTAATCACAGAGGTAAAATATACTCTCATTTACTATTATGTGTGATTTCTTAAATTATATTAATTTTGCTTTGAACTGACAGGAAGTTAATCTCGGTCCTTTTATTGTAACGACGCTTTACGGAGAATGCATGCCGACCAAATCCCGGAATCTTCCTTTTGCTGGGGAACGATAATATTTTCCCAGTTACAAAAGCACAGAGGATGATCGTGGAAGTGGAAAATGGGATGATTCTTTTGCTTGGAAATAGAAGAAAGGTTTTGGTAATATATGCGGCTCTAAAATCCTCATGCACCTCGCCATGAAACGTGAAGCTGCTCATGTATACAAACCAGACTGAGTGAATTATCCGCTTTCACTACGAGTGTGTTCCGGTTTCCGCTCCCCGTTTTGCATTTCAACTCGTCCGAAAGGCGTGGTTCCTGTGCAAGGATTCCGCCCCCATGTCAAGAATAATGTTCTGGCGACATTTTTTCCTCAAGTAATACGAAAATAACAAAAAGTTCTGANAGGCCGACGATGCAAGAAGTACTTGTGGAGTTTCTCATACTGCTGGCATTAGTTGGAAGCGCTGGGGTGACTTTGACCCTGGTTTTCTATCCATGCTGGTCCGTGATGGAGAGACGCACTTCAATGACGCGTGACGACGGCAATGATAGTGAGAGAAAAGCTAACGTTTGCTTGACCAGTGATGAGAGGATATTTGCCATTGGTGCTAGTGTCGCTGCCATGGCGACTTGCGTTGCCATCCTCGTCGACGGGCTCATCATTTGCATCAGCATCAAGTAAGATTTGCACGTACATAACAAACCACGAAGGTATTTTTTTCGTGCTGTTTATTGGGACCACAAATGGGCAGAATTTGTCTTTGAAATGAACTTCAGAATAAAAAAAAATCCTCTTGCTTTACTGTTGGGATTGCGTTTCACAAAAAGCTGGTAGGTGTCGCTCGCAGGTTCACGTCCTTTGAGGCATGCAATATGTTCGTAAGTGGACTCTCTCATCCACAACGATCTAGTCTATTACAAAGATTTTCTCCACACAATGGATTTTTTTGTTCACATTGGGATCTTTTCACATGTTACAGGGGTTCTCTACAACAAATTTTCCTGGTGCCCAGAATTTTGTTTTATATATAGAGAGAGTTCACCCAGGTGTTGGACTCACTCAATACTAAATCTTGTCTTCATTGATTTTATCCTGTACAGTCAACAGTGAGATGCCAAGATGTGGACGTAATTGGTGCTTGGACATTGTCTTCACATGTTGGAATATCCACATGTTGGATCACATTTTCCCTTAAATGCTAATGGGAACTTATTGATGCTCTCTATATAGTAATCAATAGTTCATCAAAAATTAGGAATGAATCCCCCATAAATCAAATAGAATATGTTTCTCAACTTACAGATACAGAATATAACTGTGCAGAAGAAAACCACATGGAATCTGATCTTCTGGCATCAAAAGGACCCCAAAAGCAGAAACAGTACAAGTTTTGCTTTACTGCTCACAGTTGACAGAAAATACTCCAAAAAATAATTTTTTTTATTATAAATTAGAGTATAGTTATGATATTCTTTTCAAATTTTTGTAAACATATTTTATTTTTTGACAATATATCCAAATTTTGAGAAATGAAAGATTTTCCATCTATTTAGAGATAGTAATGTGGGAAAATGTCTGCATGGCAAGGCCCTGTCCAGATGTTGGGGCAGATTTTTAAAAAATTTTCAAGCGTCCCTATGTTGAATCATCCCCATGTCAAATCATCCAATGTCAATGAGTCCATTTCACAGGTTCTCACTGTACAGTAAAATATTATCATAACAATGCCATATTGGGATCAGTAAAAAAAACTTTCTTTAAAAACATTTGTTTCTAAGTAACTCATTTAGTAATGTGAAAATTGCTCAGGGACCTGAAAAAAATGTATGAACGTTAAACTTTTGTTCCAACAAGCACATCTGTAGTGGTCCATATTGTTGGGCCAGATTGTTGTCAAAAGGTGGAAAAGAATGAAACACAGCGCTCAGCTTTTATGAGGCCAGAACCTCCTTAAATGAGTCCCTTAAACCTTAGTTTACTAACTCAAATAACAAAGTCACAGCAAGCAACAGACACAAGCCTACAATACAAACTCTAGTCACACACACACAGTCACAAAATCAATCTGATCAGGAACAAAGCACACACTAGCAAAAGTCCTCAGGGAGGTTCTTTTTGGTAGCAGGCAAAGCTGGCAAGTGTCTGTCTTTGGTCCTTGCTGGCTTCACCAAAGAGTTGGCCAAAAACAGCAGGGATTGGGTTAAACTAGTTTGCAGGCCTGGTTTGCCATTCTCATAGTCAACTGGGCAGGTAGTGGGGACTTCCGCTGTTCTTGTCTGTGCTTGGCACAAAGTTTTCTGCTCTCTGCAAAAATGCTACAATTGGGGCTATACGGAGCAGCCCCAGTGCAACCCCACGCTTATCAATAACAGTGCTGAGCTGTATTTATTACTTGAGAGATCCACTTCTTGCGTATTTTATAAATTTGAACATGTGAAGCACAATTAAAAAAATAAATTTCCTTCATGCTCTTTCATTCTTTAATGTTTTTTCTTATTCTTTCAACAGCACCTCTGATTATGAGAGCAAGGCGCAAAGTCATTCCACTCAGGGCATTCAGACTGAAAAGAGGGTTGATGACGAACCAGCATCTCAAGGCTTTTATCCCGAAGATTAATTTTTTCAAAGGTTTCTGAAAGCACGATCGAGATGCTTGATGAATCTGATTGTCGGAGGAAACACCTGCGCCGCTTATTTCTTTTTTCTGCGAATATGATTTCATTTGAACATGATTGAAATAAATCTGTGGTTCTCTGCTGGAGGCTATTTTATTATTTGGAAAAAGAAGCAGAAAAAAATAAAAAAAGATATCAAACTTACGCCAGCTGATGAATTTGTTTACACCAGCAGAAAATATATTGAAGATGGGAACAGATATCTTAACTTCAACTCTATTCTATGTAAATTTGGGCTGGGATAACGCTCACTCCTGAGTCCTGAAAATAAACGTACAGTATATTGTTAATCACAGAGGTAAAATATACTCTCATTTATTATTATGTGTGATTTCTTAAACTATATTAATTTTGCTTTGAACTGACAGGAATTTAATCGGTCCTTTTATTGTTATGTCCGGAGAATGCGTGCCGACCAAATCCCGGAATCTTATTTTTGCTGGAACCATAATATTTTTCCAAGTTACAAAATCACAGAGGATGATCGTGGAAGTGGAAAATGGGATGATTCTTTTGCTTGGAAATAGAAGAAAGGTTTTGCTAATATATTCGGCTCTAAAATCCTCATGCACCTCGCCATGAAACGTGAAGCTGCTCATGTATACAAACCAGACTGAGTGAATTATCCGCTTTCACTACGAGTGTGTTCCGGTTTCCGCTCCCCGTTTTGCATTTCAACTCGTCCGAAAGGCGTGGTTCCTGTGCAAGGATTCCGCCCCCATGTCAAGAATAATGTTCTGGCGACATTTTTTCCTCAAGTAATACGAAAATAACAAAAAGTTCTGAGCAGAAGAAAAGGGGTATGGCATCAGCAGGCGCTTTGTTGTGGATATTACCTGCTGTAGTTCATCTTGGACAATAGAAAGATGTTTCTGTAACACGTGAGTATTTAAAAGAAGGCAGCACGAGTGTCTGACAACTGTAAGATGGCACAAGAATTGTACAAACATACACTTAAATAGTATTGGAGTGTTTGCTATCTGGGGTATTTCTCAGCCAAGATTTCATTGCATATGAAAGAATGTAGTTGAAATTCAAACATTTTTCCTAGTTAAAAAAATAGTACTGAACACAAAAAATAAAACCTCTGCTGGCGCGTTCAGAGTTTTTCCAGCTTTTTTGCATATTTCCCTCGGTGTTGATACTATTGCAGAGTTCATTTTGGTAAGAAAGTGTTTGAAAAAAAAAATACCCTGTCTCTGCTGTTTTTTATTCCACCTTTGTGAAGGAAAGTTGGGGTATTGCATGGAAAATGTCGTCCCCTTGAGCACTGAAACTTTGGTTCCTGAGAAAGAAATCTGATGCCGCAGCAGATGCAAATTTGACTAAAGTGTTAATAAGAGAAAAGCCACCTGTTACTTTTTATCAGATAATTTCAACTGCCATTTTCCTTCTGAAATTTCAGATAACCATAACAGACTTCATGAAAAGTTTTGAAACATTTATAATGCGAAAACAAATTTCCTGCAGACCAGTATAACAAAAACTTCTGTGGACCAGCACCAGTCCGTGGACCACAGGTTGCAGATCTCTAGTAAATACTGTCATGGGTCCATTGGATCCCAGACAAAGGAATTGAATTGTGCAGCCATCAGAATGCAAGTTTTGAATAAGAACTCAAACTCTTTTCAGAGGAGTTCATTCTCATTGCCCAGTTCATCAATTGGCTGTTAATTCAATGATTGTAATGACAGAGTCCATTTTTAAATTGGTTGGTTAGCTCAGAATATTGAATGAGGTAATTAAAGTTAAAAGGCCCTCTAACGCTAGGTTCTGACTTTTCCTCTCAAAAAGGAATGACGGCTTCTATAGCCAGGTGCTTGGACAGGGTCAGAAAGAAATCAGGTGATTTCTTCCTGGCTCAGGATTGGCCAATTTTTGTAAAATCAAATAAGTGATGACCACTTCTTGTCCTTGAGTGAGGCTCAGTGAGTCTGGCAAAAACAGGATTTTTGCGAGGCTCACTGGCCTCAAGATCCAACAAGTTTTTGGGTCCATTTGCAACCGGATGCTGGAGCTGCATTGCTTCCGGACGCGACAAATACTGTACTGTAATACTGTGAGCATGCCCAGCTATGGTTGAAAACTTACCTCTGCTTGAGGCCCACATCTTTCTTTCCTCCTCCTTGGGGTCATGCAGCTATAGTTATTGTCCAACTCCTGAACTTCCGCGTTTTTTGTCCGTTTCCGTCATCACCGCCCCCAGGATGTCGCGCTGCCAAATGTACCCATTTCCCCCCCGGGGGGCAGAACGCGTTTGCGTTACGTCATGCAGCTCACGTTATACGCTCCAACCGAAACTGCATAATTCAGCAATTTAGACATCACCTCTGTTCCAGTCACTCCACTTTCTTTTCGAACCCAAGAATCGTTTCTTCTTGTTCCGTATGCTTGCATACAGGGGGTCAGTTGGGGATGGGGACGAGTTAGTTTCCTGTGGCGAAGGGATTATTTACGCAGTAGAATCTTCCTAAAATGATACCGTATTGGATTTTTTTTTAAAAGGACAACTGTTTACAGGAAGAGAACATGTTACAATTGAACCTCTCCATGATGTAATTTTGCAGGGACTCAAAAATACTTGAATAATCAGAATTTTACTTTCTTTCTGTGTTGGCTGATTAATGGAAATAATTTTATGGCCCAATTATAAGGACTGTTCATTATTCATAGATTTCATACTTAACGAAAGGTGCTTAATCCCTTGGTGAGAGCATGAAGAAATAATTTAAATCTAAAGGTAATTTCTCTCTACAGCAAAATGCAGGGGACCATAAAAATGTTTGTTGTGGGAATTTCTTCATAAAGACACAGGATTGACTTTGTAAAGTCTGAATCTCTATTTTAATAAGAAAAATTGCATCGCTAATACATTTTTTAAAGGTTTAAGAATATGGGCTTAAAATAGGATTTATTATAACTGTTTAGTTAAAGTTTGATTGAGATTTTCCTCAAACAAGCAAATAATCCATACCATAAAGTCTAGTAAGTCTTATCAACCTGTTTAGTTTAGCGTTTTGATACGTTCGTATGTTTGTTGTCAAAAAGTCTCCTATCTCATTATCTGCCACGACATTCCCAATGTTTTTTGCTAAATTTCCTTGAAAAAACACTATCTGTTATCGACAAAAAGCGTGACCGGATTTTTTGATAGTTTCTTTTTTTTACAACAAAAACTTCAAAGGCGATCAAGTGTTTGAAAAGTGTTTCTGCCTACCTTTCCTTCAGAGATCGAGAAAGGCCATTCAATTTCAAATCGAATGCTGATTGGAAATTCTTTGAAAACCTCAAGGAAAAAGCAGAAGCCATTTAAAAACCGCGATAAATCGTTGAAAATTGAGCAGTTTTAAAGTATAAACAGGACTTTTTCCCCCAAGAAAAGAACGTGCATCAACAATAAAAAAAAATAGCGCTCAACTTTCAAAAGAAATCCTTGATGCACAATTTTATTCCTGAGCATTGTTACCATGGCTCAGCTGGATACCACCAGGATTGCGCAGGATCGGACCCGCGGGTCTGGACTCGAGATCGCTGTGCGCCACGCAAACCAATGTTAGTTGCTGCCCGCGAGCTGGGGTGTGAAGAGCTCCCA